ACGGCTTCTCTGCTCCTGTGATTGTTTGCAGTTGGAAGCCAGTGTCACCGCCAGGATTTCAGCTTCTGATGTGTTTTCACCTTGGGATCTTCCTGGGACAACCACCTTCCCTTAGAAGGGGACTGGGGCTGGCTCAAGGTCGGGGAGCCCTGGGCTGCACCAGCCATGAGAGCCCAAAGGGGAGCACCTGGGAGTCAGGAGCTCCCCCTCCCCCTGCACCCCTCTGTCCCGAAGGTGGCAGTAACCACTGTGAGGCACTGGGGTAGCTCAGGGTTCCCCGGGATGAGAGCTGACAGAGCTGAGGCCAAGTTTGGGAGAACAGACCTGGGTGGAGGGGACCAGGCCAAGTTGTTTAGAGGTCCCCTAACCAGAATGTCCACACCCATCTTGTGAGGGGGGCGGGGAGAGTCAGCACATGCCAGGCTGCATGCAGAGGGGCAGCCAGGCTGGGTGGAGGCCTCGGGCAGTGGGGAGTTATTCCTTGGGGGTGTGTTAGGGAGGAGAGGAAAAGGGAAGCTTGGAGAACAGTACATACATGGTATGACGTTGTGCGTCTTATCGATACATCTGTGCCTCCTTGAATACTATCAGCTGCCCCACAAAGTAAGCATTATTACTGTAGATTTACATCTAGAGATGGAAGCGTTGCTTAACCCAGTCATAGGGCTGGTCCAGGGCAGAGGCACGCACCAGCTCTCCCTCGGAAGACCCTGGGACCCTCCTATCCTGCTCCCTGGAAGTTTGCCCAATGGATGAAAACTGGTGTGGATGTTGGCCTGTCTGTATGTAGATGCCAGTTTACAGATCTGTAGATACGTGCAGTATGTCCACACACCTATGTCAGTTACCCGTGTGGACTCGAACCTGGGGGCGGGGACCCTGAGGTGTCCCCCTGGCGGCCCCCCAGCACCACTTTGCCAGTGGGATGAACGCCAGGAGCAGCCTTTGGCCTTCAGCTGGCTGGGGTGGGGCTGTGTGTTCCCTCAGATGGGCCAGCCTGAGGCCTAGGCCCCGCTGTTCTCTGGAGCCGCCCGTGGGCGAGACTCATACCAAGCATTAGTGCTTTCCCTTCACGCCCTCGTCTCACTTTCTTACCCGACTCGTGCTTTCAGCATCACCTCCAGATAAAATGCTTGTGCCCACATCCTTGTCAGGACCTGTCTGTGGTGCTTCTCCACCCGGCAGTGAATCTAAATAACCACATGCGTGTACAAGTGCTATGCTAATCGTGTAGCTGTGTATGTAGAGCGTGTGTTTATGTGGCCACTTGTGTTTCCGTATGTTTGGACGTGGATGTGTGTATAGAGATGTGTATAAATGCGGGCACGTTTGTGTTGTGACTCTACATGTGCAGGTGTGAAAATGTGTGAGTGTATATGTGGTTGATTTTCCATACCTTTCTGTAAGGAAATGTGTGTGTGTGTGTGTGTACACGTGAGCCTAGAACTCAGGAGGAATGTGGCTGGGTGGGGTGAGTTTTGAGGAGGTGAGGGGGGGAGACCGGGAGGAGCTATGGTTATTTCAACCTTGAAAACTCATTTCAATTACAATTTACAACCTGCAGACAAAGGCTGCAGTCTCCGTAGTAACCGCAGCTGCGGGGGTTTTGACGTGGGGAAAATCCTTTCGCTGATGGTTCCAGGGGCTGGCTGTCACCCGTGGCCGAGCCAAACGCCTCTCCAGCTCACTGTGCCTCGGGACACAATTAGGACATCTTCAAACTGTTGCTGCTGTCATCGCTGCCATGTGTCCGGAGTTGATCTCCTCCAGGAGCTCTCAGAAATCTGTCTTGCTTCCTCCCAGAACTGTGATTCCCCCACCTTGGCCTGGGGGTCCCTCCCTCCCCGCCACAAGAGGGGGTTCTCTGACCCTGGCTTCCCTCCATGGCCCCCTGCCTCCTCTAGCTGCAGACAGCTACGTGCAGACACGTAGCTCCTGGTTAGGCCTGGCCAGACGCCCCAGAGAAGGGGAAGGAGGCAAATCAGGGTGGATGGAGAGAGAAGGAGGGGACAGTTCAGGGTGGCAGAAACTCTTTGGGAGCCGGAGAGATCTAAGTTCAAATCCCATCCACTCACAGGCCAGGCCTGTCCCCAGGTGTGTAGGAACACCTGCCGGTGGTCAGGATTCCCGCAAGCCTCGGTACTGCACTGGACTACCTGCGAACCTCCTCCTCTGTGAGGGCGGCTGGTCCGACCTGCCTCTCAGAGACTCAGGGCAAACGAAGCATCGGCCACGCTGCAGGGTTATTTGCTGGAGTCAAGGGTGTACAGAGAGCCTCACTGGTTACGGGTGCAGCTTCCAACATTCAGGACAGCATGTCTTGACCTTGTTGAACTTGTGTTTGTGACTCCTGCCCCCTCCCCCAAAGGGAGCACAGTACCTTAGGCTCTGTCATTGTTGCTTCTTGTGGGGCTTAGGGGAGGGGCCTTGTGTGTGTGAGATGGAGTGTGTGTAGGGGGCAGACTCAAGGCCTGCCACTCCCTTAAAATAAAGACCCTTTGCAGGGCGCCTCACTGCCCTATTATCTCATTTGTCATTGGGGGCAGACTTGAGACAAAAGTCAACCACATGAAAGTGTGTTGGGGAATCTCCAGAAATTGACAGCTGGCCCTGTGGCCACTCTGGGGGCGGGGGATCCCAAGGGGCTGTGGTCCAGGGCCGCTGACAGCCCACAGGACCCCGGAGCCAGGCAGAGGTGAGCGCCCCTGGTGAGGGGCTCCCGTGAGGTCGTCTGCACTCCATGTGTGACCCCAGTGAGATCACATGGTCCTGGACCCGTGTGGCCCAGGGATGCATGCTTCAGCTGGACCGCTAAGGGGGTGTGTGTCCTTGGCCTGGGGAGAGTCCTGCCCCCTCTCTGCAGCGGCCGTAGCTGCCCCCTCCATCCTGGTTAATAATTCAGTCTCTCGTCCATATGAAATGAGAGCGTGATGGGAGCTCTGGGGGTGTGGAATGGTGGGATGCAGACAGAGGACGGGACCCGGGGGCCGGGGGGTGAGGGAGGGGCCCGTGGCTGGGGCTTTCCATACAACCCTGTACCAGCCTCTTCTGTCACCCTCTGGGAGCAAGATTGTCCCTGGAGCTTCTTTCCTGGCTACCAGAACCTGTGATCAGAAGCCTTGAACAAGAGGGCAGGCTACTGAGGCCGGAGAACCTGCACCTCCAGTCCATTCACCTGTTGTGCTGTGGCCGAGAGGCAGCTTTGCCTGTTGGCACAGCTCTGCCTTCCCTGGAGCTCCGAGTTGGGCGGGGCTTAGACCTCTCTGTGCCCTCGTGTTTAACGTGCTTCTGCAGCACTTGGCAAGCACCAGGCCTCTCCATGACCTGTTGTGAATGTAGACCCGTTTATCCTCACGGGGTCCCTATCCAAACCCTATGAGCTAAGTACCATCAGCATCCTTATCTTGCAATCTAGGAAACTGAAGCCTGTGAGGTGAGGTGGCAGGTCCAAGGTCATAGCTAGATGATGTGTTAGAGCTAGATGATGTGTTAGAGCTGGGGTTCTTGCCCAGACAGTCTGGTGCGAGTGCAGTGCAGTGGGGAGCCAAGGGCTCAGCCTTGAAGACCACCCTGTCTCCAGCCCCAAGGACATGCTGCAGAAGCTGTGGTATGTCTGGAGCCAGCAGTTCCCCCAGAGCCAACTGGGAATCTTCCCCTAAACTGTCCAGTCTGTGTACTGGGGGCCTCTGATCTGTGACCCCGAGGTTAGGGTACTGGAGTCAGGTTCTGACCTCGGTCGCAGTGTCTTGGTGGCCAACATAGGCATAGGAGATGTGCCACCAGGTCCATGGGAGCCCTGGGCAGCAGGGCACAGTGACCATGAATTAGCTAAAAGTAGAGAAACTTAGGAGTGATCTGTGGATCCCTGAGGCCTCAACCTGGCTCCCACGTGACACCCATTAAAGTCCCGGGCCCATGGCCCCTTGGGGTGCCACTCACCATGCTGGCCACTGGGGAATAACCTCTGTAAGGTGTGGCCCTGGCACTCTAGCCAGGAGGCACAGGTGTGTCTGTGTGTGTTTAAGGGTTAATTTCATCGTCCTGGAGGTAAGGGAGGAGGCTGCCAGACAGGCTGTGGGCAGGGCTGTGGGCTTGGGGTGGGGAAGCTGGGGTCCCTAGCACTCTGCCCATCCTCCCCCTTCCTCTCCTCTGCCGTCCCCCTGTCCTCAGCTCAGATCTCCTGCCCCTCCGCCACTTTCCTGCCCTCCCTGCCTCAGTCCGGCTCTTACAGTCGCTCAGGTGTCCAGGCTGGGGGCCGGAGCACCTGGTCAAAGCCAGCTCTGTGTGGTCCTGGAATGCCAGGGAGCTTTTCTGTGCCTCCGTGTTTTCATCTCTGTAGAAATGAATGGGGATCATTACCTCATGGCATTGCTGTGATTATCTGATGACTTACATACATAAAGAGCTTAGAACAGCACTTGCACAGAGTAGATGCTCCATAGAAGTTAGCAGCCCGTATCCTCCGTCATCATTGTGACCCAGGCCTGGGGCTCCTCCTCCTCCAGAAAGTCTTGCTGGCCTGCTCTAGCCCATGGGTGGTGATGATGGTGACTTCTGACGTCTGGGGCATCTGGAAGCCACTGAGGACATCGGGTGTCCTGAAGCCTGAGGGACCTGCGGCCAGCCCCTCACCCTCTCTGGGCCTCAGTTTCCCCCCCCGTACCCCATGGTGGGGCAGCAGCCCCTGGCTGGTGGCTGCCCACAGCCGAGCTGCTGTAGGGCATCACTGCCTTCATCCACAGACGAAGTTTCTGACCTGGCGACTTCCCGGCTCACACAGGGTCCAGCTGTACCGTCATGAGGGCAGTGGGCCTTTAAGGACCATCCCCCAGGCGCGCCCATGAGACCGTCTCCCGGGGTGATGAAGCTCGCCCTGGGCCTGGGGCCAGGAGACCCGGGTGTATCCCGGGGAGCCTGCTGTGGTTCCCGCAGCGCATCTGTGAGTGCTCATGGGCTGTGTGGGCACTCCCGCCCTGAACGGTTTTGTTGCAGACCGGGAGCGCATCGGGCAGGACTCAGCATATGAGCAGGAGGGGAAGGTGCAATTTGTGATCGACGCTGTGTACGCCATGGGCCACGCGCTGCACGCCATGCACCGAGATCTGTGTCCGGGCCGCGTGGGGCTCTGCCCGCGTATGGACCCCGTGGATGGCACCCAGCTGCTCAAGTACATCCGCAATGTCAACTTCTCAGGTGGGGGCACCACCCAATCCCGGGGAAGGGGTCCCAGGGCTCCATGGGTGGGAGTAGGGGAACCTCTTCAGATGCTTCCAGGGAGTAAAACACCCTGAGACGTTCCATGCAGAGGTGTTGCTGCCCGGGGCTCACGCTCCTCCATGTCTCTGGGCAAAGGCTCAGCAAAGAAACGGAGTGTGTGACCCCCATGGGCGCCCCCCCCAGGCATTGCGGGGAACCCTGTGACTTTCAATGAGAACGGAGATGCACCTGGGCGCTATGACATCTACCAGTACCAGCTGCGTAACGGCTCGGCTGAGTACAAGGTCATCGGCTCCTGGACGGACCACCTGCACCTCCGAGTAAGTCCCCGGAGGGAGGGCAGGGCGGGGTAGGGGGGCGGGGAGAAGCCACCCAGCCCCGGGAGGGGAACCCTGATGCCCGGGTTTGGTGCTGCCGAGTTGGGGCTTCCTTCCATCAGAGGGCCCTGAGCCCCCAAACTCCAGGACAGAAGAGCGGGGCAGTTGGGCCCCCGCCCTCCCTGCCCCTGTCTTTCCCCGTGGCCTGGGCCCTCCTGCCTGCTCCCCTCACAGGGCCAGCCCTGCAGACAGATGTATTCATACTGGGGCGCGGGGGCTCAGAGTCTTGGGGGTGGGAGTGGGAATGGGGAAAAATTGTGAGGCGGGGAGAGGTGCGTCTGGACAGAGGAGGATGACAAAGAGCTCAGTCGCACAGTGGGGTTCTGCTGGTGGGTAGCTGTTTGAGAATGACTCCATCAAACCACTCGGGAAGGCCATCCTTTTCCTCAGTGGCATGAAGGGGCTTCTCCTGGGTCCCCTAGCTATGCTGTTCGAGGTCATGTCTGTGCCAGGGGCTCAGGATCTCCCTGCTGCCCTCGATGTCCCCGGCTACGAATAACGCCATGTTTGGGGATAAAAGGGACCTGTGGTTGGTGCCGCGAGGAGGTGACTGTGGACTGACTGGTCCCCGCGCTGCATGGAGGGTGAGCCGCGCAGGGTGGGCACAGTGTGACGTACAGGTGACTGGACAGGCTCGGGGGGCCCAGATTCTGGGAGAGTCACCCCTCATCCCTGCTGTCCCCTCCTGTAAGCATCTCATCTGGCTGCAAGCCCTGGAGCTCTTTAGGGCACTCTCTGCCCACGATCTCGTTTATCCCCGACAATCTTCCAAATCAGAAGGAGTATCTCGGGGAACCCAGCCCTAGGGATGTTCCAAAGGCCACACAGCATGGCGGGGCTAGAGCCCGTTCCCACAGTGATGCTCCTTGGGTTGCTGAGCAGGTGGGAGTAGTGTGGGCAGTGTGGGACCCCAGCCCAGATGGAGGCCTGTCTCGTTCAGATCTGGCGTAGCGGGGAGGGGCAGGGCCTCTATTCATTGGCAGTGGCAGGCAGTTCATCCTTACAGAGCACCCGCTGTGACGGCTTCTGTTCTCAGCAAGTTACCTTACTGTGGGGATGCCAGCCCTGCGGGGTGGGCCCTGTTATCACCCCATTCTGCAGGTGTGGTAAGTGAAGGCAGGCCTGGGGGGGTGGGAGTGATAATGGTTCCCTCCCCAGGAATATAAGCCCCTCCACCAGCGTCGAGCTGGGGGGAGGAAGGAGGTGACGCAGGACTCATCCTCAACCGCCACACCTGCCCCATCCCTCCCGACGGCTCTCGCTCCGGTGGCCAGACCTCACTGCTTCTTGGAGACTCTACCATGATTCACTGGCCCCACCTTAGGCCAGCCCTGGGCTGGGGGCTGCAGATGGCAGGGAAGTAACTCAAAGGCCCTGTCCTCCTGGGGCCGATGCTCTGGAGGAGCAGACAGAACTTCCAAGTGGAAGCCATCATAAGTCACAGAGGGCTCTGGTGGCCTTGTATCTGCTGTCTTTGGATCAGGCAGGACAACAAAGGCTCAGAGAGGCTGAGGTGTTTGCTCAAGGGCAGACAGCCAGCTAGCAATAGAACTGTGATCCCAACATTTGACCTCATTCACTGCTCTTTCCACTGGAGTCACAGTTTTCTGGAACACCTCCCATCCCCCTGGATCCCTGGGTCCCCCTGCAGCATCACAGGTCTGGTGCCCAGAGATTGTCCTGCCCCCTTGTTCCTGCAGGATGGGAGCTGGCCCTGGTCACTGCTGTGCTCTTTGGCTTCTAGGGGACGGTCATGCCCAGAGCCACAAGGCAAATTTCCTCCTTGAGATTTTTGTCCCCATCTACCATGAAGCCATCTTTGGATTCTCCACCCTACCTACTCCAACCCACCCCACTCACCCTTTTTCTCAGCTCTAAAAGCCTCCCTTCAGCCCCAAACCAACTGGCTATTCCTTCTCCTGGAGTGAGCTCCCAGAACAAAGGGCCTGCTGTTCTCTAAGCGTGAAAGTGTTAATTGTTCATTTGTGTCCGACTCTGCGACCCTCTGAACTGTAGCCCACCAGGCTCCTCTGTCCATGGGGATTCTCCAGGCAAGAATACTGGAGTGGGTTGCCATGCCCTCCTCCAGGGGGTCTTCCCAACCCAGGGATTGAAGCTAGGTCTCCTGCATTGCAGATACTTTACCTTCTGAGCCACAGGGGAAGCCCCAAAGCCATTCCCTAAGCATGACCCTTCCTAAGAGCTGATGCTTGGAATATGGCTCCCAAGTGTGGCCAGGCTCCCTTTGCTCAGAGCCTGGAGCTCTTGGGGGCTCTCACTTACTTTCCAGAACTTCGTGACACAACCTCAGTAGGGCATGCCAGCTTCTGTGGCTCCTTTGCTCGCAGCAGTTGTGTCTTCAGAGGCATGTAACAGAATGCACTCATTCAAAGCAGAGAAACACTCACCCCAGTCACACCTTACAGGTTCTCTGAGTGAACCTTTGTTCTTTGTTCTCTGCTGAACCTGACTCCTGTGCCACCTGGAGGAGGCCCTGGGGGCTGAGCCACAGGCAGCGCGTCTCCCGATGTGTGCACACACCAGCCACCTGGGGGGTTTGGTTAAAACTCAGATTCCCGGACTTTCCTGTGGTCCAGTGCTTAAGATTTCAGCAAGGCGGGGGATGAGGGTGCAGTCCCTGGTCAGGGAGCTAAGATCCTTCATACCGGGACATGAAACAACAGAAGCAATTGTAACAAACTCAATAAAGCCTTTACAAATGGTCCACATTAAAAAAATGTATTAAAAGAAAAAAAAAAAACTCGGATTCTGAGTCAGTAGGTCTGGGGTGGCCAAACATTTACATTTCCACAACCTACTCCTGGGTGACGCTGATGCGACCGGTTGGGGACCACCGTGAGGAGCGAGGCCTCACTGGGCTGGGAGTCCGGGCTGCTGGCTGTCCGCACTCTGCCCTGTGACTCTAGGTTGTCACTGCTGGCCTCTGTATGACCATTGGGGGTTTTGTATTGGAGCAGGATCCCCCGCAGGTCATCTAGGTCTAAATCGTGCCCGGGAGCTTATTTAAATGCAGTTGTTGGATTTGGTTGATCCTGGCAGGGCCAGCCGGGCAGCTGGGTTTTGCCATCTGATGGAGCGATTCAGACGCAAGGTTCCAGGGTGCCAGCCAGGGGGCCGGTCCAGGGCCCTGGGCAGCGTGTCCTGAGGCTGGCTCTCCTGCGCTGTCGTTGACAGATAGAGCGGATGCTCTGGCCGGGGAGCGGCCAGCAGCTGCCCCGCTCCGTCTGCAGCCTGCCCTGCCAGCCAGGCGAGCGGAAGAAGACGGTGAAGGGCATGCCCTGCTGCTGGCACTGCGAGCCCTGCACAGGGTACCAGTACCAGGTGGACCGCTACACCTGCAAGACCTGTCCCTACGACATGCGGCCCACAGAGAACCGCACGGGCTGCCGGCCCATCCCCATCATCAAGCTCGAGTGGGACTCGCCCTGGGCCGTGCTGCCCCTCTTCCTGGCTGTGGCGGGCATTGCCGCCACGCTGTTCGTGGTGGTCACCTTCGTGCGCTACAACGACACGCCCATCGTCAAGGCCTCGGGCCGTGAGCTGAGCTATGTGCTGCTGGCGGGCATCTTCCTGTGTTATGCTACCACCTTCCTCATGATCGCCGAGCCCGATCTGGGTACCTGCTCTCTGCGCCGGATCTTCCTGGGGCTCGGCATGAGCATCAGCTACGCGGCCCTGCTCACCAAGACCAACCGCATCTACCGCATCTTTGAGCAGGGCAAGCGGTCGGTCAGCGCCCCGCGCTTCATCAGCCCTGCCTCACAGCTGGCCATCACCTTCAGCCTCATCTCCCTGCAGCTGCTGGGCATCTGTGTGTGGTTCGTGGTGGACCCATCCCACTCGGTGGTGGACTTCCAGGACCAGCGGACACTGGACCCCCGCTTCGCCAGGGGGGTGCTCAAGTGTGACATCTCAGACCTGTCGCTCATCTGCCTGCTGGGCTACAGCATGCTGCTGATGGTCACGTGCACTGTGTACGCCATCAAGACGCGCGGTGTGCCTGAGACCTTCAACGAGGCCAAGCCCATCGGCTTCACCATGTACACCACCTGCATTGTCTGGCTCGCCTTCATCCCCATCTTCTTCGGCACCTCGCAGTCGGCAGACAAGGTGAGTCCCGGGGGCGGGCCGGGGGGTGGGGGGCGAGCGGGGAGCAGCCTCCCGGGGCTGGCCGGCCCCTCTGGACGTGCTTTCCTTCCCCTGTCTCAGTTTTCTCTCCAGCTTTTGTGTCTCTCTTGCCTCCCTCCCTTCTCTTCTCCTGTCCTCTCCCTTTTCTCTCTGCACCCCACACCCCGTCTCATCTCTGTCCTTCTTACTTCTTCCCACCCTCTCTCCACCCTCCACCTTCCCTGACTCTTCATCCCTGCCTCTCCTGTCCTGTCCTGTCCTCCTCCCCATCTCATTCCCGTCTTCCCCTCTCCTCTCTGTCCCGCTGAGATGCTACCCACTCTTTCATTCTGCATTTTCTTTTTTTCTGGCTGTGTCGCATGGCTCATGCGATTTTAGTTCCCTGACCGGGGATTGAACCCAGGCCCTTGGCAGTGAGAGTGTGGAGTTCTGACCATTGGACGCTCAGGGAATTCACACTCTTCTTTAGGCCCTCCCTTTCCTCTTTCCCTGCTCAGCCCTCTTTCCTTTCTGTCCATGCCTCTCTTCTTCCCTCTCTCTCCTCCCTCCTTGCTGCCCTGGAGGAGCCCCAGGGGTCCTGGGGGTGGGTGACGTATCAGGCGCTTGCTCCCTCCCTTTCCAGCCCCAAAGCCACCCCAAAGCCTGGGATGGGGAGGCCTGGCAGCGTCAGCTCAGGGCCCTTGCTCCTCCTGCTGGAGCTGCCGAAGGGCCGCTGTCTGCTGGCTCCGCCGGGCTCTCAGGTCAGACACATCCCCCTACAAGGGCCTTGTGGACTCTGCCCACGTCACAGCCCCAGTGCTGCCTGGGTTCTGAGGTTTTATCCTGGAGGACTGGGAGTCTCTGAAGTCAGAGGCCAGACAGAGGGCAAACTGGGGGGACCGGGGACCCTCGCTCCATGTCTGACTGTGGGATCCTGGGCAAGCCAGCTGGCTTCCACCTCAGCGTCTTCATCGTAGAGTGGGCCATGACCCCCTGTCTGCAGTCCTCACAGGTGTTGTAATAATCACTCGGCACAAAGGGTGTAGAAGCCACTTGCCCACTGTAAGGACACAGGGGCTGGGAAGTCGGGGGGAGGGTGGGGAAAAGGTTGGGGACAAGGTTGGGGGGTGGAGATGGTGCAGATGGCCTAGGACCCAGAGGCCAGGGGAAGGATGCTGGCTTTTCCCAGGAGTGAGAAAGGAGCCGCTGCGGGCTCTGAGCAGGAGGGCCACGGTGGGGTGTAGGACCTCTCTGGGGTGAGCCCTGTGGAGGACGAGCGGGGAGCAGGGTGGCAGGGCGGAGGCGGTGTGACGGTGCCCTCAGGCGTGTCCGGGGGAGCGGGGACTGAGATTCTGGTGGAGTGCTTGAGTGAGAAGCACAGAGGGGGTCCCTGGTTGACACCCCCCAGGGGTGTTGGTGTGAGCAGTGGGAAAGGGGGAGTGTCCACACGCGAGGGACAGGATTGGGGAGGCAGCGGAGGAGCCGATGGGGCCGAGATGGGAAATGCCTGCGGGCAGGCTGAGTTTTGGAGCCCCTGAGACGGCCGGCACAGCGGTAGTGGACAGTGGCTGACTCAGTGGTTGACTGTGTGAGTCTGGGGTTCAGGGGCGAGGGCCAGGCTTGACCTGCGCCCGGGGAGTCACCATCATGTGGATGGTATTTAAAAGGTGAGCCTGCCTTTGAGCTCCTAGGGATATTGGGCCCCAGTGAGGCTGTGGTCAGAGCCGCCACGGCTGGCTGCTTGTCATGTGCCAGGCACTTGGCCTGGTGGTCAGCAGGTGCCACACGACGGGCCTGGGTACATTCACCATCTGTGTTTACAGATGAGGCGGAGGGAGCTGGAGTGACTTGTCTAAGGTCACCCAGCCGGCAGGACGCAGGGCTGTGCGTGACGGTGCCCTAGTTCAGGAGCCCCTCCCCACCCCACCCCTGCAGCTCCGGGGCAGCTCCCCAAGCCTGGGCCTCCCTCGGGATGTGCCCTCCTCTTTTCCAGCAGCTCCTCGAAGACAGGAGCCGCACCCTCTGCCCTGCGTCCCTTGGGCCCGGCGCAGGGAGCTGGGGAGCAGCTCACAGTGTGAGCCGGGTCAGGATCTCCCCTCCTCCAGGCCTGCAGGAGGCCCCCCCATTGCGGGCAGGTGCAGGCAGAGGCCCCCGGGCTCCGCAGCGCCCAGGGAGCGCGTGGAACCAGCAGGGGAGGCCGCCCACACCCCAGGAAGCTGGCAGCTTGAGAAATTACCCTCAACAATCCCAGGAGGCCCCTTCCTTCACCTCCCTGGGGAGTAAGGCAGCTGGGAGGCTGCCGGCAGGGTGCTCTGGGCCCTGACTCTGCCTTCCTGTAACTCCCCTGGCTGGCGGCCAGCGCGCAGCTTCCCGCGTGTTCCTGTCTCCTGGTCCCAGCCCCTCCACCACCCAGCCCTCTCTCAGTACCCCAGGCCACCCCACCTGCCTCTGATTTCTCCCTTTGTAGGAGGCGCCCCTCAGTACTGATTGTGAAAAGGAGCCTCTGAAATTATCTCCTCTGAGGCCCAGAGAGGGACAGGGAGCTGCCCCGGGTCACACAGCAGGCTGGCCCACACCAGTGTGTGGCTGTGATGCCCAGGTCTGCCCCTGATGGCATTGACATGGGATTCGCCTCCTCCTCCTCTGGGCTTCTGCATGAGGCGAGGGTGGGGACATGAGTGCTGAAGTCCCTCCAGCTCAGAATACCAGGCTTCTTAGAGGCTCAGGCAACCCTGGGTTTGGATCTGTGCTGTGTCACGTCTGAGCTACAAATGGCCCCAATGAAAGCTGCAGGCCCGGCTGCTGGGTGCTGGGTGTGTGTGTGTGTGTACGCACACGTGTAGTTGGAGTGGAGTGAGGCTCCTGTGGGGAGTTGGGTTATGGGTATATGGGTACAGAAGTGTGTATGTATAGTGTGTATGTGTATATGCACTTCTGTACCCGTGACACAGCTCCCCACAGGAGCCCCACTCCACTGTGCACCCTGCCTTTATGTGCACACTGAGCAACGGATGGCAGTGTGTGTGTGTGTGTACGTGCACAGGTTGAGTGGGGATAGGCAGGTGTATGTACCGAGGGTTTGTGGCTGTACGAATGTGTCCGAGTGTGCAGATAAAGTGTGTGTGGTCAGCGGTATGTGTGCAGATGTGTGTTTAGGTGTGTGTACAGATTATGTGAGTGCATTGTGTGTGTATACAGGTGTGTACCCAGGTACATGGAGTGTGTGTGTGTGAGAACCCAGGTGTATCTGAGTCAGGAATGTGTGGCTGTGAGTTCAGGTGTGTAAATGAATGTGGCGTCGTTTGGGGACCCGGGTATGGATCTGTGAGCATGTGTGTGTGTCCAGTAGTGTGCACACTCACGGATGCTTGGCCGCGCGCATCCCCCAGGCTGCTGGTGTCTCTCTGGTGAGCAGCCAGCCAGATTTCCGGGGCTCAGCTGCACAGCCACATGCCATGCCCCTGAGTTGACTGGGTGCGGTCTCTCCACCTGGTGGGATTACTGCTCCAGCCAGGTCGGGGTGGGCCTCAGAGGCTGGCCAGGTTGTAGGGAAGTTCATTTTTCTGGTTCATAGATTCTGATGATCTCAGGACCCACCACAGTCCAAAGTGGGAGGAACTCTTCAGAGCCTCCCACCAGGCTGAGGGCAAACCAGGAAATCCACCTTCCACCTCCACAGCGGCTCCTGTCCACGCCCTTTGCCCCGCCCCAGGTGACCCCTGTCCTCCCCCATCAAACCCGGCTCTGACAGCCTGTTCACTCGGGGAGTGGGGACCTGAGAGGCTGGTGCAGGGCTCCTTGCAGAGGATCGAGAGGAGCAAGGGCCTGATCAAAGTCGAAGAGGGAAGCAGGAAGGGGGCAGCTCAGACTGGGGGATGGGTGGAGGGGAGAGAAGGTACCAGAACATCCTGGAAGCCGCCTCTCACTCTGCCTGCTTTGGAGACTTGCATCTATGCTGGGCCCCAGCCCTGTAGGCTGGAGGTTCAGAGGACCGCTGCTTTTCTGATAGGGTTAACATGCTACCACCTCCTGGTGACCATGAGTACCTTTTTCTGGGGGGGCTCCCGATTGATGCTGGAGCCAGTGGTGGGGTGCAAACCCCACTTTTGTGCACAGGGCCAGCCACCCCCAGCCTGGGGATGGTGATAGAAGCCCCCAGGGGAGGGACTCCAACAGATGGGGGGCAGCTTTGTTCAAGTTTGGCCTCTTTCTACCCCTCCTTGTATGCCAAAAGGCTCCGAGGCTGAAAACGCTGAGGCCTGTGTGCAGGGCTGGCTTCATAGTTCTCAGGGCCTGGTGCCAAATGAGAATGAAGGCCCCTTGTTCAAAAATTACTCACAACTCAAGGTGTTAAACCCAGTGTGCGTGCCCATGGAGCAAGCTCTGCCTGTGTTGGTGGAGGGGGCCCAGCATCCCTCAGTGGGTCAGGGTGGAGTGGAGTCCGGAACCCAGTCCCCGGACCCCCACCCAGGACTGTGTCCACTGCAGGCCTCACTCCGCCCAGACAGGGGTCCTTGAGCCCTGTCCCACCAACCTCATTTTGGCCCAACGGTACCTCCCCCCATCACCAAGGTGGGGGCAAATGACCTAAGATGAATCTACCCTGGAAATATACCCAAGAATCCCCAGTGTGAAAGAAGAGACACCCCTGCCCTCAGGGACCCCCAAATCTATTGACAGAGGCATGCCTTGTCCCCAGGGAACCCCTAGTCAATGGTGAAGACCCAGATAACATGCCTGTTCTTGCTGAATTCAGACCTCCACTATCTTCTCCAAGGGTCTGTTATGATACTCTGGAGCCTGGACCCCTTCACCCCTTCCACCCTGGGGCCCCAATGCCATCTCCAGGGTGGGAGAGGTGACTGGCACCCTCCACTGGCTTGTCATGACCTTTCCTGTCCGCATGCTGGGGGGTAGTCCTATGCCCATGGGTGAGAGTGTGGGTCGTGTGTGAGGACAGAGGCGTGTGTGCTCACAGGGGAACAGGCTCTCATTTCCCTGGGTCTGTGACATTTTCTGAATGGTGGCCTCGCCACACTCCCAGCCTCCTCCCCCGCACCCTCTTTCAGTGCCCTGTAAGTTTCATGTGACCTCAGAGTCTGTGCTTGGGTATCCTTGTGGTTTGGGTGAGGTAGGTGCTATCATCCCATTGTGCTGATGAGAAAATTGAGGGCTGGAGAGGGGATGAGACTTCCCCAGTGTCACACAGCTCTCTCCTCTCAGACCCTCCAACTTCTCCAGCTCCTTTCCAAAGGCAAGAACCCCAGGGAAGGGTGGCTGAGATACAGGCCTTCAGATTCAGGTCATGAGGTATTTATGGGGAGGGGCAGGGGATGGGGAGAATATGAGAACAAGAGGACCTGGCCCTTCTCTTCAGGAGACTTTTCAATGAGGCTAGGGCTCCTGTGACCTCAGGACTCAGGTCTAGACCTGGGTCCCCCACTGCTGGGCTGGGTGCAAGGAGTGAAGGCTGTCTTGGGGGATTGGCTAGGATCTGGGAGTCAGGGAGAGCTTCCTGGAGGAGGTGGTACATTAACCAGGCCCCAGGGGAGGGATCCCAGGCTCAGAAACAGCAGATCTAGGAGGCAGAGAGCATTTTCTGCTTTCCCATACATAGACCTGGGGGCCACAGCCTGGGCTTCCCCTGGCCCCACCCTAGCTGAGGAGGCCAGAGGGGCAGCTGAGACCTGGAGGCCCAGGAGGGAAGGAGGAGGCGGGGAGGGGATCCCAGGCTGGGGCGGTGGGAATTGTAGGGCCCTGCCTGGAAGGCCCCACTATTGAAGAATGGATTACCCGACACCCAGATTAATGGGCTTTCATTTTGCTAAACATCTGTCACTGTTAGTGCTGGCGAGTGAGCGTGAAATGAGCTTTGACTGGGCTGCCATCAGTGGATCATGACGGTGCCATGGCTCCTGTGCCAGCCACCTGCTCTGCAGAGTGGCATGGGGGGGGGACAGTCACTGAATGGGGGTCCTGGCCACGGCGCTGTGCCATGGCCACTGGGAGCTACTACAAGGCACCCCCGATGTTCACCTCACTCCCAGCCCTGTGCATGGGGCTGCTTCAGGGGAGGGTCAGCTGTCCCCTGAGAGCCCCGCCCCTGGGCCTCTGCCCAGCACATAACAGTGAACACTTGCGTGCACTGACCACATGCCAGATATTATTTTACACGCCTTTGCCATTTATTAAGTCATTTCAAACTCACAGCAACCCTATGAGGTAAGGACTAGAACTCTCATGCCCGAGGAAACAGAGGCCCAAAGGATGTGGCTTGTCCAAGATCACGTAGCGACAGTGGTGGAGCCAGGATGAATCCAGGCTCTATACCATGGCTCTCTTCCGCCTGAAACCAGCAAGACACAGGGAGGGGTCCCCAGCTGTGTCTGTCTGAGGGGTGGGCTTCGGACAGGGCCCCCCGGGAGCCCGGGGCAGAGCACGCCCTGACACCGCCCCCGGCCCGCCCCCAGCTGTACATCCAGACGACGACGCTGACGGTCTCGGTGAGTCTGAGCGCCTCGGTGTCCCTGGGGATGCTCTACATGCCCAAGGTCTACATCATCCTCTTCCACCCGGAGCAGAACGTGCCCAAGCGCAAGCGCAGCCTCAAAGCCGTCGTCACCGCCGCCACCATGTCCAACAAGTTCACGCAGAAAGGCAGCTTCCGGCCCAACGGCGAGGCCAAGTCCGAGCTCTGTGAGAACCTGGAAGCCCCCGGTGAGTGCCCGGCCTCGCCCCTCTCCCGCTGAGCCAGCCCAGGCCCCGCCCCTTTCCTGCTGGACCAGCCCAGGCCCCGCCCCTCTCCCGCTGAGCCAGCCCAGGCCCCGCCCCTCTCCCTCTGGACCAGTCCAGGCCCCGCCCCTCTCCCGCTTAGCCAGCCTAGGCCCCACCCTCTTCCTGGAGCAGGTCTGCGCTTCCCCGCTCCCAACTAAGTCTGGTCCAGTGGGGTCACTAGGAGAGCCCTGAGGCCAACGTACGGGGTTCCCACCCAGGAGAGCCTCGAGGCACCAGCTTAGCCCGCTTTGCCCCGCCCCGTCCTGGGAGGGGAACTCTTGCCTCTCTCTTCCCGGGAACTATTCCCACCTAGGAAGAGGCCATGGGGGGCCTGGTTCAGGCAGGGTGACCTGAGACTTCGGGATTTCTCCACCTTGGCGTCCACATCCGGGCCTGTGCCCTTTCAGTCTCCCTGGGGAGGGGGGCACTGTCTGGAAGCAGTTGAAATCCCTCAGCTTGGCTTTGTCCAGCTGCCCCAAGGCAGGATCCTGAGAGAGGGGGACTCAGGACACCGGTCCTGGAATGGGTAAGTGAGGCCTGGGGTGGGGAACAGGGCCTGCAGAGCTGTGGTTCTTAGGGAGATGTCCAAGGAGAGAGAGGCAGGGCATGGGGGGGGACAGGTTGGGCCTCCAGGGACCAGTAAGAGTGGGGACCATTTCTTGAACCCCCACTGTGGGCCACACCTGCCAGGAGCCACTTTTCATCTTCACAGCAGCCTTGAAAGCAGTGACTTTTAATTATTTGAGGCTATAGATGAGGAAGGGCTTCCCTGGTGGCTCAGATGGTAAAGAATCCACCTACAATGTAGGAGACCCGGGTTCGGTCCCTGGGTGGGGAATCCCCTGGAGAAGGAAATGGCAGCCCACTCCAGTATTCTGGCCTGGGAAATCCCATGGAGAGAGGAGCCTGGTGGGCTGCAGCCCGTGGGATCACAAAAGAGCTGGACACAACTGAGCGACTAGACAATAGATGAGAATAGGAAGGCTCAGAGGCGAGGGGCTCCTGGGGCCACATGGCGGCAGGTGATGTCCCGCTGCCTCTAAGTAGAGACCGAGGCCTCTGGCCTGTGGGCTCGGACTGTATGGGCCACACTGCCGACTGCTTCCAGGTGGACAGAGTGGAGGGGAACTTGTGATCCCACTGCAGACCTTGACTCCCTCCCTGGACTCCCTGTAAAGGTCCGAATGGTTAAAATAGCAGCCCTTCCTGCCTCCCCGCTTTCTGAGAGTCTTGGGGGCCTTCTGTTGGTGGCAGAAGAGACGAAGAGCCCCTTTCCCAGGAGAGGTTCAGATTCTGGCCCTTCGGGGCAGCACTCCGCTTCCGCCCTCTAGTTCTGGGGGAAAGGCCGCAAGCGGACATTGTTGGGAGCAGCAGGAGGGAGATTGGCGAGCACAGGCTCCAGAGAGGGGCCCCTTTGTCACCCACCAAGAGATCAGGAGAAACAGGAGACCTCCCTAGCAGGTGTTTGGGCTGGGATAGCCCCTCCTACAGGCTCCCCGCCCTGGGGCTCTGGCTGAAGAATATTCCGTTATCAGTCATTCCCACCTGTAGAAAAAGTAGAAAGGAGAAAAGTCCCTGCCCACATCCATACAGATCTTTTCACTTCCCAGAGATCTCTCCCCTTTGAATGGTCTTCACAGCAGTCCTGTGAGGTCTGGCTTGGGCTGGATCCCCAGCTGAGGCCCAGGGAGGGTGAGTGATTCTCCTGAGGTCACACAGCAAGCTAGTGACTAGCTGGCCCCATGCAGTGTCTTTCTCTTGACTGTGGCTCCATATGTCCTCCCCATCTCTCTGTGCAGAGCCGAGTACCTGGCTTCCAGCACGCCCCTTCTTTGCTTGACACCCCTGATAACACTTGGCCATACCGTCCACCAAAGGACATATTATTCTCTACAGTGTACCCTTCTTTCCAACTTCCCTGTACCTACACACAGCCTGGGGCTCCCTTCAGATGCCACGTGGACCCTCCGCCTGTGATGGGAAGGGGCGGTGTCCTCATGGGCCTTCCCGCCTCTGGTCTTTCGTGTCCACTCAGATGTGCAGAACCCCCAGTGCAGCCCCTAATGAGGTCCTTCTGTCCTGAGCAGGGACCCCTCGCTGCTTCCCACCCCACACTCCGGACTTCCTTTTCCTCCTTCCCAGGGAGACTCATCCTCCTTGGGTCCCATCCCTCCAGGCCCCACTTTGCTCCAGGGCTCATGAGAGCAAGTGGGGTATCAGCCCACTCAGACCCCTGTGTCTAGCAGGAGAGAGCACCCTGACCTCGGAGGGTGGCGCGCATAGCGCTGTGACCGGCCAGAGGGAACCCCAGGGCTAACACTGTTGCCTCTGCCTCTACTTGGGCTGACCTGAGGACAGGGGACAGGGAGGGGTCCCTGTGCAGGTCTGGCAAGGGAGACTCAGCTTTCCCAGCCTCCTGCTTCCCGAGAGAGCAGGGTGAGAGCTGGTCCTCCCCACGGCCCCCTGCACTGAGGACTGGAGGCCCACCTTCTCAGCTCGGGGACAACAGCGGCCATGGAGGCGCCGAGCGGGAGCCGGGTGATTAATTCTGGGAACAGCCAGATCGTGGGGGTGTGAGCCGGAGGAGTGGGGAGGTGTCATTCCGTGGAGCAGGGACATTTTTCACTCTGTCACTGGCAGGCCACGTATCTTTAAACAAACAACAGAATAAATAATTCAGGGGCCCGATTGCAGGCAGATTAGGCGAGAAAACATGGGGACGACAAATGGGGGCTGACAGCTCGTGCCGCCACTGCCCAGCTAATTGTTAGCTGAGGCAGCAGCACTGAAAGCCAGCAGCCAGGCATCGTCAGTGAGGGATGGTTTGGGGCCCTAGGGCCACACCTCCGCCCGTCCCCCTCCACGCTGCTGCCACCCCTGGAGTGTTGCTAGCCCCATCCTGTCCTCATCGATATCTTAGCCCGGCCCCTTCACCTACCATTTTTCAGGGTTTAGGGAGTATTTCTATCTACCCAGTTTCTGAGAGCAGGTAAGGGCTTATGATCACCCCATTTTACAGATGAGGGAGTTGAGGTTCTGAGCGGTTCACTTTGTTAGAAAGTCCGCGTGGCAGGGGCTGAGATTCCCTACACCAGTGAGGGCAGGGCTGGACCTCAAGTGTCCTGACTCATGGCCAGAGCTCTTCCTTTTGAGCCTCAGCTCCTGGGGGCTGTGGGTGGAATCATTGCTCCCATTTCCCAGAAGGTCAGTCTGAGGCTCCGTTGAAGGGCTCTGGGGCTGCTGGCTTATAGCAGAGGGTTGAAGGCGCTTCCAGGTTCTGAAACCCACGGACTGGGTTTTCTAGAGGAGGCAGCTCTGGTCTTGGAAGGAGAGGAGGGGCCCAGCTGTCCCTCCCCCACCCCCACTTTCTCTGTCCCCGCTGCTCTTCCACACCCCTACCGCCCCCACCTCAGGCTCTGTGTCCCTGCAGTCAGCGGCGATCCTGCTGCTGAGGTTTTCCTTCCCCTCTGAGCCAGGAGCTGCCGATGGGTTTACAGGTTTGAAAATTCAGTTTTATCAGTTCACCCAAGGGGTGATGGAGCCCTGGAGAACTGATGCTCAGTAGCCTGGCCTGCGGACGTGAGAGTCACAGTCAGCAGCTGGCTCTTTTTCTGAGACTGGGGGAGAGAGTGGGTGGAGAGGTGGGGGCGGCTGAAGGGAAGGAAGTCTCAGCAGAAAGGGCCGCTCCCCTCCTGCTCTAGGCCGGGAGACCTCACGGGGCAGGGGAGGAACTGCTGAGGTCACAGCCGTGCTCCTTCTCCACCCTTGGTCCTCCAGCCTCCCGGGACATAGGCCGTTTTAGAAATGAAGGTGGGTGTCCTTCACACTCCGTGCGGTGCTGTGCTGGGTGCTTAATGCTGTCCTGGGTGTCGTGGACACCACTGCCTTCCAGTGGCACCTGTCCAGGTGGCACCTAAGACCTGAATCTCCCTGCCCCTGCCCAGTGATGGTTAATCTTCTGCTTGGATATTTCTGCTGACAGGGACTAGTTCAGCTCGCCTACCTCACAAGGCCACTCTAAGCCCGGGCCAGGAGACAGTTCTTCCTTGATCCTCTCCGCTGGTCCCCTGGTGTCCCCCCTGCTCACCCCATCCTGGCAACCCCGGGGACCCTCTGAGAGAGGGTCGCCGCAGTCCTGCCTGTATGAGTGAGCTGCTATGACAAAGAGGCCCCAGGACAGAGCGGCTCAAATCAGATTTGTTTCTCTCTGATCTCGTGGTGCATGGCGGGAGCAGGGACCTGGGTTCCCTGTAGCAGCAGGGACCTGGGTTCCTTCCGTGTGTCTTTCTGGCGGGTCCTAGAGGGTTGTCGTCATCCTCATGGCTGGGGCTACTCGACCTCGATGTCTCTTCTGGCCATGGAAAAGAAAAGAGGGGAAGTAGGGAGGAAATAATCTTTTTTTTTTCCCCCCAAGAATAAGCTTGATCATTTTATGGTAACAAATAATTCTGCCAAATCTCTGTGGTTTAAAACAATAAAGGTCCATTTCCCACTCCTTGTGCATGGGAACAGTCTGTTTTCATCAGATGGTATGGATGCTGCGCACAGCCCTTGACACTTGTCATTAGCAGGAATGTGGTCACACGAGGGCACTCCGGGCTGCAAGGGAGTCTGGGAAATATGGTCCTTAACTTGGCAGTGAAAACTGGTAGATAGACAGCTGGGGGTGGTCAGGATGCCGTCCACCATCCTGCCGTCTTCCACATTACCTTCTCCAGGCAGACACCCCTGGCTGTGCCCAGTAGATGCTCCCCGCTGTCCTGAGCTGTTAGGGTCCTGACAGTCAAGGCAGTTTTATGACCGAGGGCGCCATGATGTCCCCCATCCAGTCTACTCTCTTGGCACCACAGACCAGCCTCCCTGACTCCCCAAATGTGTCTGCAGGTCATAGAGGGAGACCCTGAACCCTGGCAGGACAGGAAAAACCCCAGGATTCGGGCTAGCTCCTCACCCCTCTGGTCTCAGCTCCTCAGTGTTCCAGGAGGGTGATGCTCACCTGGCCTCTTCCCGAGGCTGAGCTCCAGTGAGCGGAGGCACTCGGGACGCCTGGGGTCGGGGTGGGGGGCAGCTGACATGGTCCCCTAACTATGGCTGGGGGGAGGGGAGACACCCAGAGAGGCAGCCCTGGCCCCCGTGGTGGGTGAGCGGCAGCCAGAGTGACACATGCAGATAAGAGGTGCTCAGGGCTGGGGTGAGATAGTTCCCCCGATAGGGGGGCGGGGGGCGAGGCTGCATGAGGCTGAGGGCCCCCGAGGACTTCCCTCTCCCCGGGGGTGGGAGTAGGGCCGAGTCAGCCACATGCCCCAGTGCCAAGCCCCCTGAGGCCCCTCTCTGGTTCTGTTATCTCCTCTGTCTGCATTTTTGCTCATTCCCCCAAGGCAGTGTGTCTGTGTGTATTCTTTACATGTGCGTTTCCAAAGTGTGTGTTTAATGTCTAAAAACTCTCCCCTGGTCATACTTGAAGGCTATATGACATCACAGATAAACACGATCCTCTTAAATCCTGATGGGATCAGGAGGATGCAGGGACTCCGTGGGGTGGGGGGTGACACCCACAGAGGGATGGGGTCAGCAGGGAGAGCTCCAAGGAGGGTCCGCCTGGGGGGACAGGGTGAAGATGGATGGGCCCTCCAGGCCAGCAGCCCTGGTGTGGGGGTGGGCGGGATGGGTCTGGGGGAAGCGCCGCAGTGGGCGGGGTGGGTGCTGATGCCCTGGGCAGGGCCATGCCTGCGGAAGGGGCGTTGGATGAAGATAACCCCTGACTCCTCGCTCCTTGGTCTCTCTCCTTCCAGCGCTGGCCACCAAACAGACCTACGTCACCTACACCAACCATGCCATCTAGCTCAGCCCCTGGAGCCGCCCAGGAGGAAGAGGACGGAGACCCTGGTGGATGGTGCGTCGGGCCAGGGCCACGCCCAGGGGCCCAGCAAATGTCCTTCCTGCCTGTGGGCGCCCGTGAACGTGGCTTGGTGCTGCTGACAGTGGGACCCCCGGCGGTCACTGCTGGGTGCCCTGGACAAGCCGGGCCGGGGCCAGGAGGAGGCTGGGGGTGCTGGGAAGCCTCAGGCCACCTGAGCACCTGCGTCCTGGACCACGGCCCCTCCCCACCCCAAACCACCGAGGCTCAGGTTGGGAGGCCCCCCGGCGCTGGTTTTCTCCCTGTCTCTGCCTGTCCTGTTGGTGACTCAGTCTCCATCCCAGTCTTGCGTTCTCTCCTCTCTCTGTATCACCTTTTCTCGCCATGTGTCTCTGTCTATGCGCTCTCTGCTTTTTCTGTATCTCCTCTCTTTCTGTCTCTGCCTTTTCTCTGCCGTCTCCAGCTCTCCCCATCTTTTCTCGTGTGCTCCGCCCATCTCTCCTCTCGTGCATTTTTGTTTCCTGTCCTCAGCCCCCTCCTCACCTTCATTTCCCTCTCCCTGCCATCTCTTGCCGATTCGCCAAATCCTACATGTCGCTAAAGAGAAAAAAAGGGGAAAAAAAAATCAAAACACAAAAAAGCCAAAACAAAAACAAATCTCGAGTGTGTTGCCAAGTGCCGCGTCCTCCTGGTGGCCTCTGTGTGCGTCCCCGTGGCCCGCAGCCTGCCCGCCTGCCCCCCGCCCGTCTGCCGTGTGTCCTGCCCGCCTGCCCGCCTGCCCCTCCTGCCGATGACACGGAGTTCAGTGCCTGGGTGTCTGGTGATGGTTATTGACAATGTGTAGCGCATGATTGTTTTTATACCAAGAACATTTCTAATAAAAATAAACACATGGTTTTGCACCCCGGCTCCACATCCACTGAGGGGCCTGCGGTCGGACCCCTGGCTCAGCCCGAAGCTGGAGGGCCTGTGGTTACAGGGAAGGAGGAACAGGGTGACAGGGATGCAGGGCTGGGGGCAGTGAGGCTGCTTCCTGGGTTGGCCTCAGGTGGGGTCTTGGAGAGTCCCTGGGCAGGGGGGTGCCAACCGTAACCTGATCCGCTCCTTCCCTCCCAGCCAGGAGACGCTCCTCTTGAGACACTGGGTCCAGGGTTCCTAGCACCCAGAGTGCTCCCCTCCTGCCCGTCCTGTCTCCAGGCCACAGGTGCTGGGACGATGTGTGGCTTCCCTGTAACGAGTGTGTGGCTCGTGGCCAAGTGGGCCAGGTGCATGCACAGGAGTATATGTGTGTCTCCCCCAGCCCTGTGATTCCTGGGTTGGCCTCAGGTGGGGTCTTGGAGAGTCCCTGGGCAGGGGGGTGCCAACCGTAACCTGATCCGCTCCTTCCCTCCCAGCCAGGAGACTCTCCTCTTGAGACACTGGGTCCAGGGTTCCTAGCACCCAGAGCGCTCCCCTCCTGCCCGTCCTGTCTCCAGGCCACAGGTGCTGGGACGATGTGTGGCTGCCCTGTAATGAGTGTGTGGCTCGTGGCCAAGTGGTCCAGGTGCATGCACAGGAGTATATGTGTGTCTCCCCCAGCCCTGTGCGTCTGTCTGTTTTGTCTGTGTGTGTGTGTGTGTGTGTGTGTGTGTGCGTGTACTCCTGAACCTCCATAGGCAAGCTCATTTGTCTTGTGGGGGTGTCTGTCTGCTTAGGCTCCAGTGGGTGTGAGTCCACATCACACCCATGTCACGAGGATGCCGCCCCCTGCAAGTGGAAGCGTGTGTTCGCAGCAGCTGGCGTCCCCGGCAGGTTGGGAGGTGGGGAGCGAGCTGCTCAGGGGCTGGGCCCTGCCAGGGGTAAATTACAGGGCCAGCGACAAGGCGAGGCCCCAGGCGGCAGCTGCCGGAGCCGCCCCTTCCTTCCCGGCCCCCCCCCAGTCCCGCTTCCTCTGATACCTGGAGGGGCCTGGTGGGGGCTGGCGGGGCCCAGGTGTGGGGCAGGTGTGGGAGGTGAGGTGGGCGTTCAATCACGTGTCAGGCCCCTCCGTCCTCCTGGGGGGCGGGCGGTACCCGGGAGTCTGTTCTCCTGGGGGTCCGTGTGAGACTGTGTGTGTGTGTGCAGCGCCTACTGTGTGCTCAATAGATATGTGTGTAAGGGAGGGAGTGGGGGACAGGGTCTCACACCATCATCTTGCTTTCACAGGGTGGTCCCTGAGACTTCCTGGGGGAAAAAACCCGGATACCCCCTATTCCGAGGGTAGACCTGGAATAGATTCTACTCACTGCCCAGTGTAATGGTGCAAAACTAGGTTGTCAGTCCCCGAGCACCTTGCAGAAGCTTCCAGGCAGTGTATTAGGGGTGGCGTGAGGGAGGGGATGTGGAAGGCGGGCAGCTCTCTGACCGCACCCCCTGCCTGGGCACCTTGTCCCCTCAGTGGCCCAGGTCCTCTACGGTGATTGCCAGGCTGGGTCTGGACCGAGGGCCTGGCCTGGAACCCAAGGGCTTGACACTCAGCCCGGGACTTCCCCAGGTGCCCCCCGTGTCTGTGGGGCCCCCTTCTAGGTTCCAGGGAGAGTCATGTTCCTTCCAAGGTGGGTGCAGCCCCCTCTGTCCCCCTGGCACTCAGAGGAGGGCAGTTCAAGGCCTCCTAGAGGGAGGAGGAGGCTGAGGGCCGGAGTGGGTGGGCTCTGCGTGGGGCTTAGGCCGGCCTGCCTGGGGCTCTAGAAATGCTGATGGCCCAAAGCAACATGACAGCGGGGGTGAGTGGGTTAAGTGGAGAAGCCTTGGGTGGGCTGTGCATTCCCACCAGGGGCCTGGTGTACAGAGGAGAGGTGAGTAGGTCCAGAGATGGTCCAGAGATGAGGAGGAAGGACCCACTGCCAGCAGGACTTTTGAGAGGCAGGCCTGCTGCAGCTCTGTGAGATGGCGGGCATCCCAGGGGCCCATCACGATGGAGACCTAGTTCCGTGAGGCTGGGGCTGGGGCTGGGGGCCCACAGGTGCGTGCGGATGGGGCCTGCCCTGACGCACATTGTGGGGAGACCACCCCGGGCCAGTTGGCTGCCCATCTTTGCTCTCCATCCCATATTATTGATTCCCAGGCTCAAGGGACACCCGAGAAATGTGGACAGATACTTGTATCTTCAGAATTTTCTATTTCAGTAAGATGCGGGGATCTGCAGTGTCCTTGGCCCCCTGGAGACCTTTGCTCTGCGCTGTGCTCAGCCCTTCCCCAGGGCCTCAGCCTCCGAGAGGCCCCAGGATGAGGTCAGAGGCAGCCCCCGCCCTGCCCAGGGCAAGATATCAGGATTACCTAGTGGAGATCCTAACCCCACCAGAACCATTCAGAAGGACTCATCTGAGGTCCCCTGGGTGGGGCCGGCATAGGTCTGCTCTACAAGCTCCCCAGGGGATCAGGGACAGCTCAGTGGGCTAGGGAAATCAGTGTTCCCTCAGCAGAATCTTAAATCAGCATCAGCATTGCATCAGCATCTCTGAGAACTTGTTAGAAAATCAAATTATGGTGGACTTCCCTGGCGGTCCAGTGGCTAAGACTCTGTGCTCCCAAGGCAGGGGGCATGGGTTCGATCCCTGGTCAGGGAACTAAGATCCTGCCTGCTGCTTGGCATGGCCATGGGCAAAAAAAAAGGAGGAAATCAAGTTATGGGTTTCTCCCTACCCCAGGCTGGCTGGACCAGAAGCTCTGGGGTAGGGTTCTTAAGTTCATGTACAGGCCCTGTAGTTCACTCCAGTGCAAGACCAAGCTACCTAACACTACCTGTGTGTTAAAAGGCCAACATGTGGGATTGAAATATGTTTATGTGCGACAGATGGAGGGTGGAGTTCCGACCTAGCGTTTCTGGGGTCTCAGGGAGTTCCTGGGCTCCTGGACTTTCAGTGCTAAAACCAAGAAAGTCTGGGGAAAACCAGACAAATCTGGTACTAACGCTTCCCGTATTCGTTCAACAGATACTAAGTGCCTACTACATACTACGCGGGCTTGCCTGGTGGCTCAGACAGTTAAGAATCGCCTGCAGTGGGAGAGACCAGGGTTCGATCCCTGGGTTGGGAAGATCCCCTGGAGGAGGGTATGGCAACCCACTCCAGTATTCTTGCCTGGAGAATCCCATGGACAGAGGAGCCTGGTGGACTACAGTCCACAGGGCAGCAACGAGTCGGATACGACTGAAGCGACTGGGCGCGCATGCACGCGTGCAGGTACAAGCCAGGCCCCGGGACACAGTAGTGAGCAAGCCAGGGGTGGTACCAGCCCTTGGGGTTTCTGTAGCCAGCGTGGGGACAATGCCACTAAAACGCTTTCTGAGGCTCAAAACCAAGACTAAGCTGCTAACTGCCCTGAGCAGGGGTCCACTGGGCTCCCAGGCTAGCTGGGCACACGGGCCACCTCTGTGGAATTCCTGGGACCCGGGGAGCTCAGCTGCAGGAGCAGTATCCAAGCTCGGATCCCTTCCAGCTCAGGGGGGCTGGTTCTGAGTTCCGATGTCCTGGGGTCTGTTTCTTCCATTGTGCCTTCTCGGTCCCTGGAAGGAGAGGCCGGGGGGCCAGAGAGTTGTCTCGTAGCCCCACTCTAGGAGCATTGCCCCACTTCAGCCTCCAGGCCCAGGGAAGTGTCCTTGGGAGCCCACAGGAGGATGCTTATCTTCTAAGGGGACTGTGGGACCCCTCCCCAGCCAGAGGTCAGATTAATGGGCCTCTTTTTTAATTTTTTAAAAATTTTATTTATTTTATTTTTTTGGGGGGGCCTCTTTTTTTAAAAAACATTTTTTCTTTTTTTTTTTGATGTGGACCATTTTTGGGCTTCCTGCATGGCTCAGCAGTAAAGAATCCGCCTGCAATGCAGGATCTGCAGGAGATGTGGGTTCAATCCCTGGGTTATGAAGATCCCCTGAAGGAGGGAATGGCAACCCACTCCAGTATTCTTGCCTGGAGAATCTCATGGACAAAGGAGCCTGTGGGGCTACAGTCCATGGGGTCGTAAAGAGTCGGACACGACTGAAATGACTTAGCACTCATGGACAATTTTTAAAGTCTTTACTGACCAACTTAGACAGCATATTAAAAAGCAAAGACATGTCTTTGCCAACAAAGGTCTGTCTAGTCAAAGTTATGGTTTTTCCAGTGGTTATGTATGGATGTGAGAGTTGGACTATAAAGAAAGCTGAGCACAGAAGAATTGATGCTTTAGAACTGTGGTGTTGGAGAAGACTTTTGAGAGTCCCTTGGACTGCAAGGAGATCCAGACAGTNGGAAATCAGTCCTGAATGTTCATTGGAAGGACTGGTGCTGAAGCTGAAGTTTCTATACTTTGGCCACCTGATGTGAAGAACTGACTCATTGGAAAAGACCATGATGCTGGGAAAGATTGAAGGCAGGAGGAGAAGGGGACCGACAAAGGATGAGATGGTTGGATGGCATCACCGACACGATGAACCTGAGTTTGAGCAAGCTCCAGGAGTTTATGATGGACAGGGAAACGTGGCTTGCTGCAGTCAGTGTGGTCGCAAAGAGTCAGACAGGACTGAGTGGCTGAACTGAACTGAACTGAATTTGTTACAACATTGTTTGTGTTTTTTTGGGCCATGAGGCATGTGGGATCTTAGTTCCCTGACCAGGGATCAAACCCGCACCCCCTGCATCAGAAAGCAAAATCTTAACCACTGGGCCACCAGGGAAGTCCTGTGAACCCTTTTCTTTTTTGGGTGCCCTTCCCCCAGCCTGGGGTTTCCATCCAGCCACTGAGCATTGAGGGGAGACTGAGGGGCTGTCCTCGGGCATGAGCGCCCCACCCCCGCCCCTGTGCCTGCCCTGCCCCGATGCCCCACAGGCCTTGGCCCTGGCACTCTGAGCTTCCCCAGGCTTGGACCTCTCTGCAGACACCCCAGTGCTGAATTGTGCACGGT